CAGATAGGTTGAAAATAAAAACAATTGGAAAGTATATACCGTACAGAGTAAGCATAAGAAAGCTGGTGTAGCCATATTAATAGAAAACAAAGTAGATGTTATGACAAAGTTTTATCTGAGATTAAGTGGAGGTCTTTATAATTATTAAAATGCCGAGTTATAAGATATAAAAGTATAAAGATGTAAAAAATTCTAAATGTGCAGGCACCTGGTAACAGTGCTCCAAAGTAGATGAAGAAATACTGACAAAATGAAAGAAAGGTAGGAATCCCCAATTACAGATGGGACAAATATACATTTGAGCAACTAACAACTTCAGGATAAACCTACTTCTCAAGTGCACATGTTAGTTTACCAAGAGAAACCATGCACTGGGCCATAACATAAATCTTAATAAACTTCTAAAGTTTGACATTTTAGAGAATGTGTTCACAGACTTAACACATTCACTGTAGAACTCAATACAAATATAATACCTAATAAAGCCCAAATATTTGGAAATTAAATCACAAGAGAAATTAGAAACAATTTAAAATAAATGATAATGAACATAAAGCATCTCTGAATTTATGGGAAGCAGCCAAAGAACTTATTAGAAGGAAATTTTTTATTTAAATGCTTATATTATAAAAAAAGAAAGGTTTAAAATCATAATTTAAGTTTCCAAGTTGATAGGTAGCAAAAGAATTGGAAATTTAAACCCAAAATAGGTCAAAAGAATAATATAATAAACATAGCAGAAATCATAAACAGGAAAATAATAAAAAGAAAAGTTTTTTAAAAGATGAAGAATATGGATAAACCCCTAGCACATGACCAATTAAAACAGAGAAAAAATTAATAATTTTAGGAATTAAAGAAGGAATATCAGTATAGATACCATTGACTTCACGAGGATAATCAGGGGAAATTTTAAAAAAACTTTATGCCAATAATTTGACAATTTAGATGAAATGAACAAACTCCTTGAAAAATACAATGTGTTAAAACTGTCCCCCAAAACTATCTAGCCCTACATTTAATAAAAAATATTCAATTCATTAACAAAGTTCTTCCCATGAAGAAAACTTAAAGGCCCAGATAGTTTCGCTGGAGAATTTTATCAAGCATTTAAAGATAATTAATTCCAACCTTACACAAATTATTTTAGAAAACTGACAAAGAGGAAGCATTTCCAAGCTTATTTGCTGAGGCCAATATATCCCAATACAAAAACCTGACATTTCAAGAAAATAAAATTACAGACCAATATCCCTTATGAGAAGATTCAAAAATGCTTAACCAAATATTAGTAAATTAAATCATCCAATATATAAAATTGATAATACATCATAACCAAATGGAGTTGAATTCATAAATGTAATATTGGGTTCATATTTTAAAAATCAATCAGTGTAAATTGACCACATTTAGGAGAAAATCCTTATGGTTCACTTCAGTAGGTTCAGAAAAGCATTTGACAAAATTCAATACCATTTTATTATATAAACTCTCAGAAACCTAGGAATAGTAGGGAACCTCCCGAATCTGAAAAAGGACATCCATAAAAAAATCTACAGCTCACATCATAGTCAAGAATGAAATATAGTATTTCCCTTTTAGGTTGAGACCAAAGTAAAAACATCAGCTCTCACCATTTTTAGTTAACGTCGGCATAAAGACAGCAAAGGAAGAAGTAAGCCTGAATTTATTTGCAGGCAACGTGATTGTCTATGTGTATACTTCTAAAGAATGTAGTTTAAAACTACTGGAATTAATAAAAGAACTCAGGATGGATATAGGACATAAAGTCAATATTTAAAACTTTC